TGCAAAAGTAGGCCCAGCCCATACCGGGCTCAAACGGGCTTCCGGCCGGGCCTATTTTTTAACAAAATCGAGTTTGGTCTGGCTCAGGCCTAATATTTTTTGAGAAAATTCAGGCTGAGTCAGGTCTTAGTAATTTTTTTAAAATATATCTAAATTTATCAATTTTATGTTGAATTTTTTGTGTAAAATAAAAATATTTGATTTTATTTATAAAAAATTGACCCCATATAACCTATATCGTTTATTATGAGTAATTATAAAAATTAATTTATATTGTATAAACAAGAATAAGCCATCATAGCCCAAAGGCTGAATGGTCTAGACTAACCATAAATAAGTTTCAAAATAAACTGGCCCAATATCTAATTGTATTTAAACTTACTTATAAGTTTTGTATTTATATATATTTCTGTATCATATATAACAAGCATTTTATTATTTCTTGACTTTACTGATGCAAAATAAGTAGGATATGGATAACATTTTGGTAAAAGTTATAAATAAATGTAAGAATTGTTATTTAGTCTTGAGTGGTTTAAACTTAGAAAATATATTTTAAATATACAGCGAATGATTGTTACTATAAATTTGGCCTAAGAATGTAAAACTATTTTGATTAATATTTAATCAAATATAATTTAATAAGAACATTTTAAAAATGACCAAGGAAGGGGTATAATCAAGGCACCCATACTGTCCTGCAAAACAAGCATAATAATTCTACTCCATTTAAGATCATTAAATATTTTTTTCACTGATAAATTTTTAAAAATCTATGGAAGGCTATCTCCTTAATAATAATAAATATAATTAATTTACATATATAATATACACAAAATATAGTAGATAATTAATTCATATTATTTTAAAAATTATCTAATAAGGCTTGTGTTTATCAGAAAAAATATAATGAGGTGATTCTGGAGACAAAAGAAGATTCAGTGACTTGTCCATCTGAATTTTGGCTAGACCTATTGCTATTAAACACTGTAAACTTATAAATGTCAAAAAATAACGATTTTTATATGCAAAAGTATTCTTAGCTATCCCATTCATATTAATTTCTTTGTTAGTAGAAGTATAATAATGAGAAAAATAGTTTCTGAGGCTGAGAAACATTGTTGATGGCTTTGTATAATATCCAAATGAGGATGTTAGAGAATTTGTAATAAAAAATGCAGTTAGTAGTGGGACAAGAGTTGATGTGGCAAAATGTATCATCATTAATCTAAGCTCATAGCATAATGGACATATTTGAAGTGGGGAACTTGGATTATGGAAATATTTATTATTATATGATTTGTAATAAAGATATATGGGGGTTGATAAAATTGGATTATATTCTTGATATAAAAACTGTCCCAAATAACTCGATGAAAGAGTTGGTAATGTAACACCTAAATAAGTTGCTATTGAAAAGCCAATTGAAGTTAAATTTGCTTTATTCTTTAGAATTCTAGCTATGAAGAAACCATTTATTGTGGCAAATCCAATAAGTACATTGGGTCCAAAAGTAAAAGGCCAACTAAATAAAAATGATGCTAAAATTTAAAAAAATACTTAGTACCTATTTTTAAATTCTTTATCTGATAAAATATCCACTGGAGCCCGCTTTCTATCTTTATTAAATCCACTGTTAGATGATATGTCAATTATGGCATCTGAAGTTCTTCCATAATATTTTCTAAATAAAATCTTGGATTCCCTATCGCTTATACTCGAGTCAAAATAATTTGAAAAAACCGTACCCATGAAGATATTTATTAGGGAAATAATATACTTATCAACCAGTTGTAAAATAGTCATAATTAAAAATACTTAATGCAATAACAGATATCTACAACACTTCGCTTTAAAGTTTTTATCAGTTACTTTAATCATTTACTACTAAATTTTTACAATTACTTGCTAACAGGTTTTTAACAAGCGAATCAATTCGCATAAACAGGTATGCAAAATTGATTTAAATTTGTTTTCGATTTTTATGAAAGCCAAAATAAGAAAAAACATTTTTTATATTTTATTCTCATTCAAAACGAACAAAAAGTAATAAAAAAATGTCATTATCCCTATTTTTACTATTATTTCGTGTAAATTCCCATTTAAAATGATAAACTATTATATAATTTTTTTAAAAAACTTACAACTTATTTAATAAAAATCAGCCGAATATCTAAAAATTATCTTAAAATTTTCTAAATAATTTTTTGCTTAAAAAGCTATACCACAAAAGTCATTATCAGATAGATCCATTATTAAAAATTTAATACATTCTATTTCAACATGGTGAGTTAGTCAATTTCATACTATGGCTGTAAATTGTTGTGTATTTTTTTTAATTTATAAAAAAATCTATATACAATCCGCAAGCTTGACCTTAAATCGATTCAATCATTTTCAAAGTCATATTTTATCTTGTAGGTCTATAATAAGCAGACATTCTCTCAGATGGATAAAATTCCCACCTTGATTTTGTATTTTGTTTCGGACTAAACTCCGACTAAATTTTGTTTTTCCATTATTATTAATATTTTTTCTTAAAGAACAATGCAAATTTTCATTTTCCTTCAATGTTTTGAATTTTTTTGCTTTCTTTAAAATATCAAATTTTTTAAAGAAGTATATAAAAACTCCGTTAGGATTTGGATCTTTGAAAAACTATTCGGAATAAATCTAATCAATGAACAAGTTTTTTTATAAAATTTTTCTAAGATTAGATAGGACCTGAAAAGTAGATCCGACTCCGGACTTTTTCCACCACGTTCAGCGTCTACATGACAGGATTTTCACTGGATGCAAACCCTTCAAAAACCTTTGCCTAAACCCCTAAAAAATTTCGCCGCCTTCGGCGGCGGTGTCTGTCTATTATTATTTTCACCTTTTTAATTTATTGATACTCTTTTCAGAGAATTTATCTAGGATAACTTAAATTAATTTATCTCTACTACCAACTAGTGTTGTTAAATGGCTCCTTTTGAGCCGATTTTTAAAAACGGCTAACTCAATATTTCGTCCAGAAAAATATTAGGCAAGCCTCAAGATTTTGCTCATAGAAGGAACAAAGGTCTAGGCATACATTATTGAAATCTCAAGACTTAGGCAATATTTATCTGGCTAAAATATTGAGTTAGCCGTTTTAAAAAATCGGCTCAAAACAAGCCATTTAACAACACTACTACCAACTATCGATATTTTGATATAAAGAATTTATTTTTTAGATAATAAATTCAATTAAAACCTCCATTATTTACAATGAATTAATTATTATGGCATTATGAGCTTGCTGAAATATCTAAACCTTTTAAATGAAGATTTATTTGGAAAACAATGTGTATGATTGTTTGCAATATATATATTTGGTCGATGAATTGTATTATAATAATTCTATAATTAAAGTATTAATTTTTACAGCAATAAATTTTGTCCTATTTCATCTCAAAATTTAATAGATAACCCCCCCCCCCCCCCAAAAAAAAAAATTTTTTTTATCCTACCCCCCTCAAAAAAATAGGATGCGAACTGTTCCTATCCCTCCCGCTCATGTAGACGCTGTCCACGTTTCAGCTGGATTAATTGAATCGTGACCATCATCATTGTAAAAGGAGATAGCTCTAATTCACTTATAGTTCTCTTTTTATAACAAGGTTTAATGATTTTAGCTTTCTCATTAAAATATTTATAAAACAAGTCATAGTAATTCTAAAGGATCTGATTTGGGTAGCTTTCTTTTTGCAACAAGACTCAATGATTTTACCTTACTCGCTAAAACATTTACAAAACACGTCATAGTAATTTTAAAGTTTTTTTTACAGACAGGTTTCTCATCTGACTCTAACCATTTTTTCATCTGATTTGGTATCAATCAAAGCGAATATCATCCATTTTTTAAAAAAAATATTCTGACTTGGGGTTAGGAGTATAGGAATTAAGAGAAGTCATGATCATAATATAATACGGGAATGCATCTGATACATATTCGCGGTACTATAACAACTTTAATAAGACTATTAAGTAGAAACTTTATTTGTTAAATGTATGTCATTGATATTATTTTTATGTATAAGACGTTATAAATAACTAAAATTTAACGGATTCATATATTTCTTAAACAATTGTTATAGATATAATTTAAAGGAATATTTTTATAATAAATATAAAATTTTATTTTATTTTGCTTCTATAGATATTCTAATAATATAATGTTAACTGTATTGTTATATATGATAGCGGCAATGTATTATTTTTTCAACTTTATATTATTTTTTGAGCGCGTTTTTTAAAAAATCTGTTATAGAAAATGTTTTGCATATTGTTTGGTATACCTATCCTATGAATTTCAGACAATTTTGCCAAGAACCTTTGAACTTATTATAATTTATATTCGTTTTTTTTCACAGATTTTTTATATAAATTATAAATGACTCAAAGATCAACGGTAATCATAAAATAGGCATTCTTAGTATGCTGGAATAAATTTCCAGTAGAATCAGATTTTTAAATTTAAAAAAAAGTTCTCAAAAAAATCATTTGAAGTTAAAAAAATAACACATTGCCGGAAAATACATTAAAAACCATTATGATGGCTTCTCAAGGTAATTGCATTGTTATTCATGGTTCTATATAGCAATGCAAGTAAACTGATCTCTTAATTGTTCTTTTTTGCTAAATTTAATTTTTAACCAGTTGTTCGTTTGTTTAAAATTTTTAGATAAATGCGCTATATTTTTATTATCGTTTATAGTTTTTTATATGACCTTTGTTTTAAATTCGTTTTTTAAAACAATTTTAAAAAAAAAACATAAATGCTGTACCACATTTACGCTATAAGCAATCAATGCAGTCTTTATTTTAAAAAAAATCTGTAGCAATTTTATAAATAAAATTCATGTTTATTGTATTGCCATAAAAAAATTATTAGTTTCATTATTCATACAAATTCAAACTTTAAAAGCGATATTTATTTATCTAAAATTTTGATTGTAATTTTAAAAATAAAACTTAAAATTCTTTACCATTGATTGATTATAAAAAAATTGTTTCATTCGAAAAGATGTTACGCGCGTTTGGGAAGCAATTTTTTTTCGTGAGACATCAAGATCTTATTAAATTCTGTTTTATAAAAATTTAATTGATTTCTATATATTCAAATTTTAAATTACAATAAATATTTTCCAAAATGTGACAACGAGGTAAAACTTTCCTTTCTTTATGCTCACTTCAAACTTAATCAACCATTATAAAACCTGTCACTCCTTCCTAATAGGTTCGAAAAATCTTATTTCCTGTTAGTTGCTATATATTTTTTTATATTCCACCTGTAATGTAATACCTTTTGTCACTTCGTTCACCATTTCTAGTGATTTGATTAATTCTCTTTGATAAGTGGATTCTGTAAATAACAATTGTTCCCTCGTGTAGATCAATTTTTCTGTCAAAATTTTAACCATTTCCTTAAATTGCAGATCTAACCTCTCCATGAGGAGTTGATGTTTGCTTTCGAGGCTCTTTAGTTTTTGCTCGTATTTGTTTGTCTGACAATTGAGTAATTTCAATTTTTTTTTTTTCAATGATAGATTTTAATATGTACAAAATATTTATTTAAAAAATAAGATAAATGATGAGAAAACATTTAGATGTTTTTAATATAATAAGATGTGGAATGAAAGAAAGTTTCCCATTGGTAAAAAAACACATTTGAATAGATCTAAGAATGTAAAAAAGAAAGAAAGAAAGAGAAAGAAAAAAAAGGAAATTAGGGGGGGGGGGAATAGTGTTGGTTGAGGTAAATTGTATAAATATGGATTAAAAAGGATATAAAGAAACACTAGCTAAAATGGGGGAACATGTTCTAATAAAAAGGGATGTTAAGGATAGACAACATTTATAATAGGTGAGATAATGGGGAAGCGATGCGATTATTACTAAACGATTACATGATTATTATATCCCTATAATTCTTTATTTTGTAATTTAAAACTTCGCAATGCGATGCCGCGCTAATTTCATACTTATTGTACATGAGGCCGCCACGTTTAGCGAAAATAGTGCGACATTGCTTTTCCATTATGTAAAGTGAAATTGTGTAAAATATAAAATAGCTTATGCAAATCAACTGTGACCTTAAGTTTTATCGGTTATTAGAAAAAATCTTACACCGATTTGCTAGAAAGGAATTTAAATTTAATAAAAAATAAACCAAATTTTGTTTTTGGATTTCCATATTAATTGGTTCATCGATATTTGATCGGTAAAAATGTCTCCTACATTTGATCATTTGTCGGGATACATTTACTTCTTTTATTAAAACAGATTGTCGTTTTATTATGCCGCTTATTTCGTGGTTTATAATCTTTAAATCCTGGAGGGCTTTAGAACTCGTTTCTTTGTTATCTTTAATATTATTATCTTTCTCATTCTGAGATTTGCATTTAGAATTGGTATAAAGTTTAAGCTTTTTATAGGTATCATCGTAATATTTTTCGCGTAGGCTTTCTTTACACGTTACACTTTTAAAATTCGAACTTTTATTCTTTCTGCTCTCAAAACTTGGGTAACAACTTTTGACACCGTTATGATTGGATAATAAACTCAATTCGTGGTTATTTACGATGGAGAGCGTTGCGGATTCATTTTTAAGCGTTGTGATACTCTCCGAAGGCGATGGGCGTGAAATACATTTTTCCGGATAATTTTCGGTATATTTAATATCATCGTCAACTTTAGGATTCGTTTTTTCGAAACTCAGAAAAGAATCGTTATCTATAGCTTCACATCCATGTGTCGAAGGTTTATAGGCAAATTTAGACAACTCCAGTTGGGGCAGCTCTGAAATATAGGTGCCATTTTTGACTTCTATTTTGTTATGTTCTACTTTATTAAATCTATTTTCTTGGGGATTCATTGTATCGTTCGATTGATTTTGGTGATATTCTTGAATCGCTTTCCTCAGGCTATTAATTTCGGCGTTAAAACGTTTCGTCAATTTCAATATTTCCGCTCTGTGCATTTTCTTCTCTAATTTCATGGTTTCGCCAAGAGTTGAAGGTATAACGCTATTGTTGTAATTATTACAATTTTTTGCTTTGTCAGTTTTGTCGGGACCATTATAGTTCATATCATCTTTTCTAGAATTTTTGCAAGAACTGCGATCAAGCGTCAACGTATTATTTTGATTTTCGGTATTAAGCCCATCTCGAATTTCATTAGAAAATATGTAAGTATTATCTAAATTATTTTAGTACAATAATATATTTATACTATTTTTTTAATAAGCTAACCGATTTCATCGTATTCCCATTCGGGTTCCGAAATTTCGAATAACTTTTTAAATTTAAACGTGCCATTAGTTTTCTTCGATCTCATTCCCTGAAATAATAAATCTATCCAAAAAATGTAAATAATACGAATAATTTGTTATGATTATACTGTTTTGCTTGTTTTTATCCTTTAATGTTTTAAATATGTTCCGTTTTAGCATGTTTTTTTTCCAATCAATAACTTTACAAATGGAACTATATAAATTTTAACTTACATAAATTAATATTATACTAATTTATAACTAATATATGAATTGAATTGTATTTAAAAGATAATAAATGATGGATATAATTATATAAGTTATAAATATTTTCTAGAAAGTTTTTAATCTTTATTATAATTTTTTTTTCTCTTCTATTTTATATATATAGTTTTTAAATATTATGTATTAAAAAGGGGCTGGTATTGATTTATCCCTTATTACTTCTATTTCAAAATCGCTTACTGATTTAGAATTAGACAAGAAATTTGTGGCGAAACACCGCTTGGTCACTTCTTAGATATGGCGATCATGATTAATTGAAAATATATTCAATGAAGAATTCATGACTTCATGGTTAAAATTTTTATGTTTTACCGAACATAGTACTTGTCTGTGTTATCTTATCGCTGGATAACCTCTCATTTCATAGCGAGAATTGGCGGCGAAGAATGCAAAAACACGGCATATTTTGTATACTTCGCCACGAATTCGAGCTAACTGGAATGCAGGGTAATAGTATTGACCCTAACTCCTTTTACATTTCGAAACATTATATTTTTTAGAAAAGATTTTTGGAAGATCCAAACAATTAATACATAATTGATAGTGTGGGTTGTTCGGAGGAATATATGGAAACAAAATATATTTAGGATCTATAACTTGGATCAGATTGTGATTTCTAATATAAGCAAACAAAAGCCAGGGTGTGATTGATATAGAATATTGTTACACACAACAAAAAAAATGTCAAGAGTGGGATAATGAGAGGTAAAGGTAACCTTTACAAGCCAATTATGATACCTACTGTTTTATTATATTTTATAGGTAAATTATGAGGATTTCCATATGGGAGAAACCGGGATCATGGGCAAACGTCAAACTTAGGGGTACATCGGAAAATTTTAATTTATATTAATGTGCTAAGGGCACTTCGGACGGAGACAAGTAAGGCTAAATCAAATCATTATTTCAACGTAATTACAAAGTGCAAACTTATACAAAAAAAAGATTAAATTAAGTTATGATGAGAATAAAATTAGCACACCAATTAAATTATACAAATTAAAAAGAGTTTTGATGGACATATTCCATTTACTATTTAGGTATCCACCCAAAAAAACTAATATAAGATTATATTAGCTAACAAAAAGAAAGTAAGTTGCCAATTATAAAGCAAACTATAGTTGTCTTATATACCCTGTAACCATATCTAATGAGGCCGGTCCAGATAAAATAATTTAAATATATACAAGAAAAACGCTATAAAAAAGGGCAGTTCAAATCAACCATATTTTTTAGAAGATACTTTTCAAATATATTTAGATACAGTTACACTCATTAAAATGTATCTAAATATAATTTTTTTTATTATTAAATAAAGCTGAAAATCTATTGGTATAAAGCTCAAATTTAGAAGTGAGCCAAAGTCTACTTTTATTCAATTTGATATTTTATCTGTATAAAATAAGGGTATGACCTGAACTAGAACCTGACTCAAATTTAGGAACCGAAATTAGCGTTTATCCAACAATACATTTTTAACCATATTAACCTCTCATACACAGTTAGCGCGAATTCGCGGCTAAGTATACAAAATATGATATAAATATGCAACTTCGCGCTTACTGTGAGGGTAAGTCTCCCCATTGGCGCACTGGAATGTAGTGTGCTATACTTATATTAGTTCTTTTAAAGGTCATTCAAAGTTTGATAGGTGTCAAAATTTGTAAGTAGTAAAAAAATATATAATATTAAATTTTTAGATGTTTTTTTTCTGATTGTAAAAAACAGTCTTGTTAACGCTCCTTTTTAAAAGTAGCGACTCCCGCTCCCGCTCCTACCTTCTCAAAAGGAGCGAACTCCCGCTCCCGCTACTACATATTAAAAGGAGCGCTCCCGCTCCAACTAATGGAGTGCCGCTCCATAACCGCTCCTTTGATTTTCATTTTTTAGAAGGTACACGAAACAAAATCATATTTTTTTATCAAAACGTTTTATTTATATTATATTATATGATATATCAAAATTTATAATCTTTTATTAGCTTTTAAAAGTAATAAATTTTCTAAATTAGAATCTAACAAACACCCACGCTTCTCCCCTAAGACCTGTTTTGCAATACTAAATAGGCGCTCCACAGGAGCACTAGAGGGAAGCGGGGTATTGTATTTAATATAAATATTTTTTAATTCATGGAATTGTTCAAAAATAGTAATTTTGCTATCATTATTTAAAAAATATCTATCCAATATATTATTTTCATGGTAATCGATTTCATGGAATCCAAAGAAATCTTCCAAATCATTACAAGGTTCCCGTGAACTAGTTGTAGCTATTTTTCCGTCGGGTATTTGTTTCCTTAAAAAATTAATTAATCTGGCTTTTAGTTCCATATTTTTTGGATCTTTTATCCATTCCCAATTCAATTTAAATGCAGGATGGACAATCGCTGCAATTATATTATCATCATTATAAATATTTGGAAATCTGCAATAAGGTTATTTAAATAGATATAATTTATGTTTTATTATAAACCTTTTATTAATACCGCTGATGAGAGACTTTACAAGAGGTTGGCAAAACTCTAAATCTGATAATTCATTTAATTTTGAAATGAGTTTAAAAATGGTAGGACTTAGGAAACCCATGTCCATATGAAGCTCCCCTTCAATTTTCAGAGCTTTTTTCATAGGTTCCATAACCTAAAATTTATTTATATCACTAAGATAACGATTATATTAATATTTACTTGACTATACTCTTTAATAAATTTAAGTTCTTGGGAGTTAAAACGTATAAGCCCATGGTTATCACACAACTCATCAAGGTCCTTTTGTTTTTCATCTAACATTTTATCTAGCAAAACCATAGACTCATAATACGAATTCCACCTAGTGGAATTTGGGCATATTAGATACTTACCCAACTTTCTGATAATTTCGTCCGCCATATTTGTAGACATATTTTGTTTATTCCACAAAGATTGACACTTTTGGAATAAACTTTGAGATACTATTTGAAAGCTTCTATCCCCTAAAGCTTTCTCTGCATCAACTGTTGCCACCAAATTAAGATTGTGACAAGCACATCTTGAATGTTGAGGGAGATAATCAAAGCTTTCTGCCCTATTATTTAGGATATCATCAATATCCACAAATTGGAAATCATCATCAATCTCAGAACTTTTATCTTCAAACATTCTAAAAAATAAAAGGAAAGTTATAATTTTAAAATAAATATTTGAGATTACCTGAATGCCTTCACAAAGTTCCTACCATTATCAGTAATGGTTTTTATCACTTTATTCTGAATTTTAAAGCTTTTATGTATATCAATTATCATCTTAGCCAAAACATCAAAAGTATGCTTGCCTTGAACACGTCTTAGGGCTAAAGCTGCTGATTTTCTTTGCAATGATTTTGTGTCAATCCAATGAGCAGTTACACCCAAAAAAGACCTTTGTAAGTTAAATTAATCAAGCACATTTAAAAATATAGGCACTACCTTCTAAATCCACTCCAGCAATCAGCTGTGGTACACACATAAGATACTCCAGAAAGCATTTCTATAATATTATCCATCATTTTATCATAACGCAAACCTATCTTTGCTATTAGTGTTTGGCGGCACATTACCTTTGCTGAAGGGGAAAACGTTTTTATCATTTTGACAAAGCTAGGATTATCTACAGTTGATAAAGGAACTAATGTCTCAATGACATAATCAATGATTGCATTATCTCCTTCAGTTTTTGTAGGTTCATATGTTTTTTGACTAAAATTTAATATTGACTGTTTTTTCTCAGAAGAGGAAGACTTTATATTTTGGCTAATATCTTTTTTATTATAACTATTGATATGATTTTCAATTTTTGAATATTGATTATCATGTACTCTCTAAATATAAATTTATAAATTAAATTAAAATTTATTTTATAAAAATCAACTTTATTTTTAACTGATAATCTAAAACATCAAATTATTAAGGTAGATTTTTTTAAATAAGAAATTGACAAATATTTAATGAGCAGTATAAATATTTTTTAGGTACTTAATTTTTTTTTTATTATTTTGTTTTACTTATTTTATTAATATAAAATAAAAATAAATAATTATTTTCCAAGTTTATTGATCAAAATAAAATAAGAAAAAATCAAATTAAAATTAAATAAAATATAAATTTTACCATAATAAAATGTATATTTTTAATTTGGATGTTACAATTCAATTTAAAAAAATACTTTAAATTTAGAAAAAAAATGTATAAAAAGGAGGTTGAAGAAAATTAAAATAAATATAAAAAAGCATCATATCTGACAACCCAAGCTCAACTAATGTAATGAATTGCCCAAAAATAATTAAAACCATTTTAAAAAAAAATTATTATATTAAAATAAAGAAATATTGATTTTACCTTAAGGTGTCTTTTTAAATTAAAGCTGCTGATTTTAGAGAAAGAAATCATTTTGTTGTTAATGCACAATAGGCATTTCGCCTTTAAGTTGACTTTATCATCTGTATCATTATAAGCTTGAAATATTTTTTGTATGGTGGAAATGGAAAATCGGTTTCTTCTTCTATAATCTCTACTAAATCCATAATATCTAAAACTATTTTTTATTATATATCTATAAAATGAATATTAATATGACTTACAAGATTTTTCAAAAAATTTTCAATATAAAAAGGAAAAACTGATGTTTAATGTTTCAAATGATTAGATGAAAAATCAATATAAAACTCGGCTCAACATTTAATAATGAATAAATTTAAATAAAATAAAATTTTATTTTCATTAAATTTTAATTAACAAATATTATTAATATTTAAAAAATAATATAATTTATATATTAAATTTAAAGGAGCGAAAGGAGCTACTCCCGCTCCCGCTCCTCATTTTTAAAAAGGAGGGGCTCTCCAGCTTTTTTTGAAAAAATGTAGCGCTCCTTAACAAGACTGGTAAAAAATAATAAGATTTGCCTTGTGTTTGTTTTAATCGTGAGAAAAAAATATCGGAGAGAATTTTGATAAATTTAAATATAATATATAAAACAAATAGGATTAAATATTTTAAACATAATTTTAAAAAAAACGCAACATAAAATTAATCAAAACATATCTAATAATAGATATATACAATTAAAATGTATTCAGATATACTTTTACATTTAGATTTAGATGATATAGATACAATCTTTATACATATATATATTCGAAGACGATTTGTATATATATTTAAATTAATGATATTCAAAATAAAATAGAACCTATGTTGATAGAAAGAGAGATAATATAAATTTTTTAAAAAAAGGGCTTGTTAAACAGAATTGAAAGTTCTGATGATCAATAATTTAAGGTTTTACATAAAAATTTACTAAATACAAAAAAAGGATAATCCGCCATTGCCAGTACTTGCATAATATTTGATGGATAATTAATGCCAAAAATATCCAGATCCAATGAGTAATTGCAGACAATTACGATTATTTATATCTATTTTTGTTGGCATGGCAACATATCCTTTTAAGGCGTTATTGTTCTATAATATTCTTATCATATTCTTGAATTTGGATTAAAACATATTGTTATTTTTTTTTCAATTTAAATGTAAAAAAAATTTAAAATAATTTTTTGATTTTATAATTTATAAAATATCAATTTTACATTAAAAAAATATATTCTCCTCTCAATTTATTTTATAAAAAAAATTTTTTTTTAAAAAACTTTATGAAGTTCTTTCTTTGCGATATCGGATTTATCCAGTTTCAATCTTTTATATCGTTTAATATTTTTATCTCGTTCTCGTTGATAATTCTATTGCAGCTAACATATGGTAAAAAAAACAAAATATACTACAAATTCTTCATATACAACCTTATAATATTTATTAAAACATAAAGTCAAACATAAAATTTATATAGGTATATTTTTTTGTATTTAATTTAACTCTTGAAAATGAAAATCAGCTGCATGCATAACTAAATAAAATTTAGGCATCCTATCCATTTAATTCCCCCCCCCCTCCTCCCACCTATATCAAGTCCGGCCTGGATTATTTTGATCATTATATGATCTGAGCTGACCCTTATAATATTTATTAAAACATAAAATCAAACACAAAATTTATATAAGTATATTTTTTTAGTATTTAATTAACTCTTGAAAATGAAAATCAGCTGCATGACAAAATTTAGGCATCCTATCCATTCCCCCCCCCCTCCTTTTCCCATCTATATCAAGTCCGGCCTGGATTATTTTGATCATTATATAATCTGAGCTGACTCTTTAAATTATGGTCTTTTAAAATTTTTTTGGATGTATAATAATTTTATTTATTTAGCAGAGTTTTAGAAGTGAAAAGGTTTCGGGTTCGAAATATTTTTATTACAGTATTCCGGTTCCTAAAAATTTTTTTTAAAAATAGACTATATTTTCGATTGTTAAATATGACACGGTTTACAGGGGGTTTCCGGTGTAGGTTCCGGTTTTAAATTCCATTAATAAGCGATGAAGCACCAATTTACAAATCGCACAAATATTTTGAACAATATACTAAATTATTTGTAAATTTGTTGATACCATTTCCGATTCTTATAAATTTTATATTGGATGTTTTGATTATTAGAAATTTAAAAAAAAGGGTTATATCCGGTAATTATTTAGACTGAACCCCGGATTAAAATTACATCAGTACGTTTTAGGTCCTGTCGCCGGAATCCCGGTTTCTGATATTTTCTAGATTAATAAGGAATATATGGACGATTTAGAGTTTTGTAAAAAAAACTTTCCAATTTTTATTATAAAGGAAATATCTCCATTTGCCGGGAATCTATGATCATATTAATTAATATAAGTAAAGATTAAAATTGATGATAATCAGGAAATTTAGTTGCTATGATTAAAATTGATTATAATCAGGAGAGTTGCCATTCAGTCATTAAAACAAAAAAATATGTCTTTCATAATAAGATATATGATTATGGGAGAAAACAAAATGGCACGGTTGCCATATGACTAAAAAAATATATTATAAAAAAGGGTTGTAATTAAATTGCTCGATTTTGAGCCAATTTTTAAAAAATGGCTAACTCAATATTTTATCCAGAATAATAATACGCAAAGGTGAGCATTTTCTTCATAGATGACACTTTTCAGAAGTTACCTAACCCTGGGGATTGCAGACCTCCAATTGACAATAATTTCTGTTGAAGATGTAATTTCAAAAGATAATATAAGAAGATTATTATTTTAATTTGAAAAAATTCTAATTTAAATTGCGATAGTTATATTAAATATAATAATTATTTAAATTCAAAAAATTGACAAATTAGTTCTTATTTATTTCTGCATGGTGGGGGGGGGGGGGTAGTCTGGAATAAATAACAACTCATAAATCTTTAAAAACTGAAGTATTTCCCTTTTGAATTTGAGTTGAGTAAATCCATTATTTGAACAATTACTCGTTTGATTAAAAAAATAAGTCATATCCAAAAATATTTGTTTATTAAGTCGTCTCAAGATTAGTGTACAAGCTTATATTCATAATTTTTGAACAAATTAGATTTATTAACGAGAAATATCTTTATTACCAATGATTTTTTTTTTTTAAATGGCGATAGTAATTTTTAAATAAATTGCAGGATATCGTTCCATGCTTATATATAAAAAAAGAGTCAATGATATTCATTTTGAAAGCTAATTACCTCAAATGGCTTCTTAATAGAGTGAGAGCTTAATTGTTAAATGAGGAAGTGATTTAAACTATTTTTTTTTTTTTAAATTATAAAAAATGATAAAATATGAATTTGTAAAAGGATCTTATAAAAAAAATTTTTTTTAAAGAGGATGAAAAAATTTAACATATGGTTATTTTAATCCACTATCTCATCATTTATGCTGATAAATCCTAACCCTGTATAAAGGAACTATTAATGGTTTTTTAAAGTATAAAGTGTGTTAACGTTTTCTCCATGAATTCAAACCGAACCTGAGCCCAAAGTGTTAAACCGATATCCTTATTATTTATCGCATTCATAACAATAAAATTTTTAATGAACTTCTTCCCTAAACATCTTTCTGATCCGTTATCACGCAAAAGCGTTTAAACCGAACCGATATAACGATTTCTTATTGAACATAAACCGTAAACCCTTATTTATATCTGAAAAAACCCAATTTCTATTTTTTATAAATAAATTAGTTTTTTTTATTTTCTATTTTTTTATTTTCTATATTTTTTTCATTTCTATTTTTTTTCTTATTTATTTTTTTCTTATCCATTTTTTCCCCTTTTTAAATATTTTTTTCTATTTATTTTCATTTCTGCTTGCTATTTTTTTTTCTTCTCTCTATTATTTTACTTTTTTCATCCTTTTCTATTTTTTTTATCACTTTTTTATATTATTTTTTTATTTTCAAATTTTTAAGGGGCCTCGAGCCCCTATGCGCGTCCCACCCCCTTATGACGTTACTGGTTAACCTAGACTTCACACGATTAAATGTAAATATGTTTCTATATTATTTGCGTTTAATAAGATTTGAATAAATACCAATAAAGGTAAAAATTATAGTAGACTTTGCATGAAATAAACACAATTATAGAATTTATTTATATTAATAATTAGTGCTGTAAAAGTTACTTCAGAAAAAAAACGCGTTACTCGTTATGTCAAATAAAGGGAACGCGTCAACGTTACTCGTTACCTTGTGAAAAAAGAAACGCGCTACTCGATACTTGAAAATTTAATATTATATATAAAAATTTCCTATATGTAAAAATTATACAAAAATAATATATTATAAGATGAGATCTTTTATAATAAATTTTTTCCTATATATAATATAAAATTATTCAAAAACAATATATTATAAGGTATTTTTATAATAAATTTTTATTTATTTTTAACAATTGATCGTCAAAATTTTGATTAGACTCAACACATCTTTCGCCATGTTAAGCACATTCAACTTCCACAGAGGATGGGAATGTTATATTTTATTTAATAAATATAATTTTTATTGGGGGAATTTATTCAAAATTAAAGAATATTCCTTATTTTGAAAAAAGCTTAATAGAACATCTGCAAAAGAATCTTCATTCAGATCCTCGTCAATTTTTTTAAAATTTTTATCAAAAAATAATCTGGGTTTGGCGTTAGTAACCATTTAAAAAATACGCAAACAGGTTTACTTTTTCCATTCTTCGTCTTGTAATATTAAATAATGTTATATAAATAACTTACTTATATCCTAAAAAGAAATATTTAAAAATTAAAGAAGTAAGAACGCAGACGATAATATAATTTTCAAAGATAAATCCTTTTTTAAGAAGTTATTTAAAATTTTTAATCGACGGATATTAATAAAAGAAAACCTTTTTTTTTTATTTAAAAATTACGGTAAAACGTAAACGCCCAATTTGTGTGTTCTTACACGTTACTCGTTCGAATGGCACTTTTCTAACGC